GACTCGAACTCATGATTTCTTACTTTCAGTAAAAGAGATAACTCGAACTAAGAACTTCTTATTTCTAACGAAATGAGATGACAACTGAACTACTTACGTCGTTTACATCTTATGAGAGTATCTTAAGTGATTAAAAATCTTAAATTTGAATATTAAGAGAATAAAGAAATATTAAATGAAGTAAATAACTGTCCCTTATTATATAATTTATTATCTTATCTATAAAAAAGAAAACAAATAATTTATAAGATGGATTCAAATCAACTGCCTAATTGATATAAGACTATAGCATAAATTGATCAAATGAATTTAATGGTTGGAATGAAAGTATAGAATTACAAGTAGCTAAGATTTATTTAATATTTTTGTTAGTATAAAAAAAAAAAAAAGAAAAAAAAAAAAGAAGCAAAGTCAAACATGCAGCTTGAAAGCGAAAATGTTGCCAGGCGCCTGCAAATTCGGAAATTCTAGAATATGTTACGTGTGCATTTCAAAATTTTATGTCTTTTATGTATATATATTTATCTCGAGTGATGGTTAACCTACAAATTTTTTATTTTTTAATTAAAGGATTTTTTTTGTAAGTGGATTTATGCATTTTTTTATTTTGGTCCAATCCACCAATCACCGAACCATGTAATCTTGGTGTTGGCCCAAGCCAAACATTTTGGGCTTTCAAGTCCAATTAGCCCAAATCAAACGGCAAATTTTGGGTTGGTACTTGGTATATTCGATCGGGTCGGGCTCATTTTACTCACCCTTCTAGTTTTTTTCTCCCTCCAGAAAGGATATCCGATGTTGCGAATGTTTGGCTTCCAAGGCTTCAAGCAAATGTAACTAACAATGAGGATTAAGGAATGTTCGTTTTCTTCTAAAAATTTTTTGAATTTGCAGCCATGAATAACCCGCGAAAAAATGGGGGGGCAAGGCAAACCATGGTCAAATTAGGACAGTATTGGCAACAGTCTAAATTAACCACGGTTAACTAACGACCATAATTGATTGGCGAAAAATTTAACCATGGTTCCCATTTTTCATCCCCTCTTTAAACTTCCAAAGCAACAGAAACCCCGATCTCACCGGAAACAACAGGGCAAGGCGTCTTAATAAACGCCGGTCTCATTCTTTCTCTCCATTGTTTCTCTTCTCAAAATTGTCTATTCTAATTTCGTTTGGCGAAAATCTCTGCGACAATGAGAGAGTGCATCTCGATCCACATTGGCCAGGCCGGAATTCAGGTCGGAAATGCCTGCTGGGAACTTTACTGCCTCGAGCATGGCATTCAGGTATGCTTCATTTCTACCTTGGCATTTTTTTTTTATTGGTTGCAAATTCATTCTGCCTTTTCTGATGTTAGGGTTCAATAGGTAGATTTCTGATACAAAATTCAAAATATCAGTGTATATGCTTGATTTTCATGCTGTATGGATTTAAAGTTCATCTGAAATTAATAGGTTCAAAATCTGATTTGGAGATTTCAAGCCGAGATGTTGTTGGTTCATCAGAACCTTTGGATGAAACTTGAAATTTTCTCTAAATATTTTGTTGAAACTTTGTTCTTGGATCTTGATTTTATGACTGAATTTTCTAATTCTTGATTGCGCTCTTTTTT